TTTCTGGTGAGAACTCAACTATGCAAGAATTTTGTTCAGTAAGCTTGCTAATAGAGATGAGATTTTTTTTTTTTATAATTTGGGGAACCACTAATACTTCTTTCAAAGAAATATTTTCAGGATTAGAAGGTATATTTAAATCACCAGTATGTGATATTTTCATTCCTTTGCCATCTCCTATATAAATCCTATTATTGTCATAATAAGGAGAACAATTAGTAAGGTTACCTACTCCAGAAGTGAGGTGGACGGTAGCACCAATATCTGCATACCAATTTGGATCTGACCCATTTGAGATATCTATGGCTGCGAGAGCTTGAGGAACACCATCAGTTTGGTATGAATGATCGAATCGATTCCAACATTTGATGGCAGTGTGACCCAATTTGTTGCAAATTTGACATTGAGGTGTGTTAGAATTTCAATGCTTTTGCTCGTCGGCATGGCTAGGCATTCTTGCATTCCATTGTGCAGTAGGATTTCCTTTATGTGCTTGTTGAGAAGAGATGTTTATTTGCTGCTCATTCTGTTTGGCATTCGAATTAAATACTTGACTTTGTTGTCCCTTGTTTGAATTGAAGCCTTTATTAAAATTCCTCCCCCTTTCATTGGATCGGCCATTTCCTTTAACAGAAGAACGATTGCTGAAGAAAGCAACATTTGAGTGTGTGCTTTGGGTTTGTTCATATGCTTGAATTCTTAGTTCATGACTGACTAAGGCTGCAACAAATTTTTCATATGATGGCATTGGGGGGTTTTGTTATCATTGATGTCACAAAACCTTCGTATTGTTGCCCTAACCCATTGAAGAGCCAAAATACTTTGTCGTCATTAGAGATGGGCTTTTGAATGGCTGCAAGATCATCACAAATTTTTTTGAACTTCCGAATATAATCATTAATTTAATCCCTACCTTTGTGAATCAGTTGCAATTGTCGTTGAAGTTGTAATTCTCGATCCTTCGATGCCCGAGCAAATGTCTGTTCTAGGCAGCTCCAAACGTCTTTAGCTGTCCGTACATGGTTCCAGTTAACCATTATTTTAGCATTTGATCAGACTTTCTCCATTTCACGAAACTAGGATTGATTGTTTCATCTTGAGTAACAAATTCTATTGGTTCATTGACTGATCCATCAAGGAATCCAACTAGATTTTCAGCTTCAATTAAAGACCAAATCTGTGTCTTCCATAAAAGATAGTTTGTCATGGTTAACTTGATTGAAACATAGTTACCAATTGACAAACTTGAAATGGTTTGAGCCATTTTAACGGAGCTACTGATGGAAGGTACAAAGAGCTACTGATAAGAGGTAACTTGAAGATAGAAAGAGCTACTGATAAAGAGTTGAGGAAAAAAAATAAATAACAATTGCAAGATCAATGCTCTGATACCATATATAAATTGATAAAATGTTAAAGCTCTTTGCACTCAATTATAATATTACAAGACTTGTTCTAGATTTACACTTGGCTTTTACAACAAACAATATCTGAAGAATTTCTTCAGTTACAATATTTAAAAATCAAAAGCTAGTTGGTGTCTACGTGGCTTGTATACATCTTCATTTATCCACCCTTACCATCTTCAGAATCATTATCTCCTTATGACTCTTTATCTTCCAACAGTATTCTGTTATTATTGTCACAAGCAGTAATTAATTTGCAGTCCATAACTAGATCACTTTGGACAAAGCTCACCAATCTTTTATTTTTTTGGGAAGGTAAAAGCTCAGCAATCTTACTCCAATGATAAACTGAGGGTGAAGAAGTTACTGAATTTATGAATTAGCTTTTGCCAATTAATTATTGATGGCTTATTAGCATGTGATCTCTAGGCTGCAACAAAATTGGGTGGCCCATTAATTAGACTAGGTAGGTAGGTAGGTAGGTAGTTGTGTGGTCTTTAATGCTCACAGGCGGCCCAAATTTTCATATATCTATATATATATATTTCAAATATTTTCATATAATTTTTTTGAATTTTTATATATAACTGTATTTTTATTAGTTGCAGTTCCCATTCTACTAAAAAATGGATTTTTGGAATTTTCACAAAATTTCTCTTTCTAATCATTAGTTATCTGCTTTATATGCATTTTTGAATTAGTTACTTTTTATTAACTACTACTAGATTAATGTCAACTGAATTATATTTTTATATATTTGTTTTTATTTTTGTAATTTCATTTATATTCACTACATACATGATACATTCTGCTTTTCTTCTATTTTAAATATAATATGCCCCATCAAACCAAAATTCCTAGTTCTACATATTTTACTAATTTAACTCACCCACATCTTATTAAATATATGTGTTGGATGACTACAATCTATTATTTCTCTTCTTGTCTAAAATATTTAGTAATAATTTTACTCATATCATTTTTATATTATTATTTATAATTTTAGCCAAATAATATTGTATTATTAGTAAAATGGTGTTATAATCCAATTTTATAAACATTTAAATTGATTGAATATTTTCATTTTCCTCAATAATTTCTTTCCCTAGGTTGAATACGAAAGTACTATTATACTATCATGCATTTTACTTTGAAGGACCAACATCTAAGTCTTAGGTGAACTTCTTGTTATTCATTTCAATGTGCATTTTTTTAAAAAAAATCCAAAGTAAGTATTGCACGTCAAGAAAGTTACTAAGAAAATGCGTGAATAATGTCAAGATCATGAAGATTGAGTTGTTTTTACTTATTTAGTTGTACATTTCTCTGTCCTTACGTATACCTATTATAACATTATGGGCAAGCAGGGCGGAGCCATGATTGCAAAGTGGGAGGAATTAAAGATAAGAAAATTTGAAGATGAACACATGAAATATTAAACAATTTTCTCGTAGAAGTGAGATATGATAAGGGCATATTGCGTTCAATATGGTCTTAGTTCCATGTTCAAGCAACTAAATCATGAAATGGATCATTTTTGACCGAAGATCTAATCCGAGAGGACTTAGAGACCTAATTTACCAAGTTTAGATCTCAACTTAAAATCAAGTAATAAGAATATGTTTGTTATCCACCATCAAAGTACCCATTGGAATTCGTTTTCCGCATAAAAATAAAATAAAAAATTATTCAATTGAATCTATAATACCAATTGAACTATTAACTGATAAAAGTGCTCAGATTTTGAAATAAGACTGCCCATGTTCTAGGGAGTATGATTTTATGTCCTAATTTGAATGAAGAGTTGGATATTTCCTCACTTTCTAGCAGTTATAAACTCTTTGAATTGTGGTTTGTAATTAACATAATTTCTGCTCTTGTTTAAAGGTGGAAAAAATCAAAGATAAACATAGAAACAATTCAAGGAAGAAGGATAGTAGCAGCATATAGCCTAGATAAACACAAGAATAGTTGGACTGATAGAAAAAGGAAGAGTAATACTAAAAATTGATTAGATATAGATTAAGCTTATAGTAACATACTAACAGTAGTACTATTTATTTATTTATTTGATTAGACCTGGGCTATAGCCCAGGTTAGCCCATTAATACTTTCGCCACCTGGAAGTCCGGGTGGCTGGAGCAATTTTGTACAAACCTTGAGAGAGGTTGACCATATTTTTTCACATAATTTCATTTATGAATAATTTGGACACATTTTAAAGGAGGTTAAAGAAATTTACTCATATACATACAAAAAGTTGTAGTTTAGTGAAACTCTTTAATCTTTTAAAAGCAAATGGGTAGGCGTGTATGGTCAATGTTTAAAAAAAAAAAAAGAAAAAATTGTAAAATGTACATTCTTGAGATGTTAAGGCGTGGACTCATAAACATGAGACGTGGGCTAAAAATGCCCATATTGTGATCTAACTAATAGGAATTAGGCCCAAGCCAGTACTACTACATTTACATCCCACCTCTATTTGTCCTCCTAGATTGTCCATTTATTACATTTAAAACTAGTGGCCCATGTTGTGTCTCATTTGGCCTACATCTGATCTAATTTTAAAGTTATTAAATGTTCATCTCTCTTTTTAAATAGATGTTTTCAATTATAAGGTCATATGCCATTGCAAAATGTAACACCAACTTGTTAGACTTTGACAAAATATGAATGTAACACTATTCTTTCATAAATCATAATATTATAAAAGAAAAAAAGAAAAGTTAGCAAAAATTAGTTTAACCTAGTTTTACTTGAAATAAACTGATTCGAAATTAGTTATTCCATTTTTATATAGTATGGCCCTATCAGTATTATGAAAAGAGAGGATATCTACACATAGGTTTGGAGGAAAATATTGTATACCAATTATTTTAGGTCCCGACCAATAGAATTTAATTTAATCTATATTAATTCCTATCTAACTAATAATTGATATTAAAAATTGATAAAACTCCTTTTCCTCTACTATGAAAAGAAACCTCATTTTTATGAATATATATATTTTTCCTCTCTACTTGATAGAACACACACTCTCTCAAAAAATTATTTGCACTTAAAAGAAGTCAAATTTTATTTCTAATATTTTTGAGTTATAGGGCTAAATTCTTATCTACCCAAACTTTTAGGATGAATTTAATATATAAACAATGGTGAACTAATATAAATAAGCCTCCTTTTTATGAATTTTGCTCCACCATTCATAATCACTTTTTACAGATTGAGAAGTCTTTTCTTACAAATTTGGTTTTTCAATACAAACCAAAAAGTGACCCTAGAATAAATAACCTGAGTTACAATGTCAAACTTTATTTCATTTCTTATTTTTATTTTAGTCAAACAAGAAGAAAAGTAAAAAGAAAAAGAAAATAATGCAATGTATTGTGGTTTGTTTTTTTCTTGCGACTTTTCTATAGATGCCAACTGACAAACCCCTCAATCTTTTTCCTTTTATTTCTTCTCACTTGTCATGACTAGTAGGCCCACTATCAATTTTAAGTCATCACCTCATCTGTCTGATGAATGGCTTTGATTTTTCAAAAAACTTTATATTATTACAGCCGCACAATAATAGAATATAATAATATTCCATCTTCTTTATCTTCATCATCTTCGTCTTCATATTAATCCAACTCGCAACCAGTCTTTGATCTCATCCTTTCTCTGTCTCAGCCATATACAAATACCCACAAGCAAGAATTTACACACACACATATTATATATATATATATATGTATATGATGTCAAGAGCATTTAGTAGTACTGTTGGGCTTATGGCTCTTGTAGTTGTTCTTTTTCCTGAAGATTATATTGCCCAAGAAATAGGAAAAAAACAGTGCTCCCTTTCTTGCGGAGACATTGGTAACATCAGCTACCCTTTTCACTTGAAAGACCATCCTCGTAGCTGCGGTGACGGTCACCACCAACTGGTTTGTGAGAACAATCGCACAACTCTGGACCTGTCTGGAGTCAAATACTATGTCCAAGAGATCTCTTATGAGAACCGAACAATTACTTTAGTGGATGTCGATATAAAAAACGATTACTGCTCCTTTCCTCGCAATTCGTTTCCATTGTCTAATATTTATTATGGTCTATACAGAGATTTCATATATTTTGTGAGTTGTCCAAACCCGGTGAATTCTTCAAACTACACAGATTTCTCTTCTTGTGCCAACAGCACCAGCATTTCTTCGTCCTCCAAACCAAACTCATCATCATATCTTGTTTCAACTGATTTAATGGAAATTCGTGACTCCTGTACCATCCTTGTTCAGTATCCGTCTCCATTCATCATTGATTCCTATAGGAACCTCACTCAATCTGATATTCATCAGGAGTTGCTTCGAGGGTTTCAGCTTAGCTACAATGGCGGTTACAAATATTTATTATGGGAGAGGTATGTACTATGGAGGTATCTAATGCATGCCAAAGGTTGTTGATAGAAACACACACGATCACTCACACACACACACACACACACGCAAAAAGGGGCTATGTTTGGGAGCACATTGAAGAAATTTAGTTAAAATTTTGAACTAAATATTCTCAGATGCAAAATCCAAAGTGATCATGGCAGCTTACGTGTATATATAGCTAGCTTGCTTCTGCAGAAAATACTAACTTCACGTCATCCTTTTGGCTGAATGCAGGTTATTGGTTTTGTTTTTCCGTAATCTAAGTAAGGATATGCTATTCCATCAATTTCTTTTCTTTACTTGATTTTAATTTTCTTGTATACCTCATTTTGATATATTAATTTATTCGTTTATCAGAGCAACTAATCATCGCCGGAATCACGGCAGGTGAGTTAAAATAAAAAACCTAGTCTCTAGCTCTCTCACATGTTAGTTAAAATTGTACTAATATCTAATCTCTCGATATCCATCTCTTTTTTAGGAGTGTACATCATAGTAAGGATTTCAATTGGGTTGTTGTGCTTGATTATATTGTTGGCATATAGATTCCGACGAAGGCACTTGTCCATCGATGATACTATCGAAAATTTTCTCCAGAGTCAAAACAACTTCATGCCAATCAGGTACTCCTATTCAGATATAAAGCAGATGACCAAAAGTTTCAAGGATAAGTTAGGTCAAGGAGGATATGGCTCCGTGTTCAAAGGAAAGCTCCGAAGTGGTGATCTTGTAGCAGTAAAAGTATTGAACACGTCAAGAGGTAATGGGCAAGATTTCATCAGTGAAGTTGCCACAATCGGAAGGATTCATCATGTTAATGTGGTGCGAATGATTGGATTTTGTGCAGAGGGATCTAGAAGAGCCCTCGTGTACGACTTCATGCCTAATGGATCTCTTGATAAGTTCATCTTCTCACGAGAAGAAAATAATCTCTCCATCATCAGGTGGGATACAATGTATGAGATTGCGGTTGGAGTGGCTCGAGGGATTGAATACTTGCATCGAGGTTGTGCCATGCAAATTCTACATTTTGATATCAAGCCTCACAATATTCTTCTAGACGGACGCTTTGTAGCAAAAGTTTCAGACTTTGGCCTTGCAAAATTGTACCCCACAGATGATAGTATTGTCTCTCTCACTGCAGCAAGGGGAACACTTGGATATATTGCTCCGGAGTTGTTTTATAAGAACATTGGAGGTGTGTCATATAAAGCTGATGTTTATAGCTTTGGTATGCTGTTAATGGAAATGGTGGGGAAAAGGAAATATGAAAATGCACATGCAGAGCACGCAAGTGATATATACTTCCCATTTTGGATTTATGACCATATCAATCAAGGAGAGGATTTAAATTTGGGAGATGTCAATGAAGAAGAAAAAGGTTGTGCGAGGAAGATGATCATAACTGCATTGTGGTGCATACAACTGAAGCCTGTGGATCGTCCCTCCATGAGCGAAGTCCTGCAAATGCTAGAAGGGGAGGAGGGGCTGCTGCAAATGCCTCCCAAGCCTTTCCTTTATTCCAATGTAATATCAGTGGAGGATCAAGCAGATAACAACACAATAGGGTTATCAACTTCATCCCATGCTGTTATGAGCGTAACCATTGATGAGATGTTAAGGTAGGAGTGTGTACTTAATTACTCTGTTATTGATGCTTTGTAGACTTGGTTGCTTTTAAAATTAATCATGTCAAATTAATTAAAACGTATGTCAAGTGCACTCGTCTAAAGAAAAATAAAATAACTTTCGTACTCTCCATTGTTGTTGCTCAATTTTAGCTCTAATGGTGTAATTCAAATTAGGAGTGACAAGACCAAGCTAATCTTCACAACTTTTTATTATTTATTATTAATGAGTTTGGATAATTAGTGATGGAGCAAGAAAATAATTTGAGAGGAAACGTCATTGAATATACAAAATTTTCAAATTATCATTAAACCATTTTTTTCTATCTGCGTTTTGCACTAAACCTTCGGTTTTTATTTTTATTTTATTTTATTTTTGCCAAACAAACCCCTTAACTATCTGAGAAGGGTGATTTAACTAACGGAAGTTATTAGCTGAAAGGGACATGTTTGGACATTGAGTTTTCTCGTATATTTTTGTGACAAAAATGCCTCTGTACCTATTTTAATATACCCCACATATATATCTACTCCATTATCACTCTTAGCCGCATATTCTCCACCATTGCTCAACTTCTTATATATATATATATATATATATATATATATATATACATATATACCATTATAATATTATATATAATACGTATCATAATATAATGTTATATATAATATATACTATTAAATATTATTTATATTGTATTTGCATTTCCATCCAGCCTTCAAACCTATATAAATCTGGGGTTTTTCCTTGAAATTTATTACTATATATATATATATATATATATATATATATATATATATATATTGAGAATTATATTGTACATTTATTTCTTTGATTTTTATTGATTTTCATTTTATATAGATTTAATTGTTAAAGCAATTTATCTTCTACCACTATGAGAAATAATGCCTAATTTTTTTTTTCTTTTTTTCTTTTTATTTATTTATTTATTTTTTTTATATTTATTATTCATGCCTACATGTTTTTCTTTCTTTTTATTTATTTATTATTTTAATTTTATTTTATGTATTTTAAAATAGTTTTTTCTATAAAAAATCTATTTCTTTCACGTGACTTTTGTAAACTTGACGATCATTATGATATTATTCTGGAATTGTCTAACCCATACTTTTACTAACAAAATAGATTTTTTTTGAATTAAATAAAATATTGCTTTCAAAACCTTATTTTTTATCTCCTCGACAGTCTAATAAAATGTTAACAATTTTTTTTTTTTTAAAACAATAGAAGCGTTAATTTCTATGAACGATGTCGTTTAGGTTATTTAATAATAATAAAAAAAATCAATACGCACTCACAAAGTAGATTTTCAAATAGACCTAATAAGTATTTAAGTCAATTTCTATTTCAATTCCCTTTCGGTTAACGTCCGTTTTCAGTGGGGGGCACTTGAGCCCATCATAGGCGACCTGTCCCTACCTCAAAGGATTAAAATTATAGGCATCGTTAAAAAACAAAAATCAAAATAAAATAAATTCACACGAAGGTTAGAGTACTCAACATCTTTGCTTCAAATTGAGCTCAGACACAAAATAACCATAATCTCTGATACAAGTCGTTGGGAATTAAATCCTCATTCATTCAAGCACATCGAAAGCATATCATCACATAAAATTACACAAGCATAAATTGTATCGATCCAAACCAGAGTGTCCAAAAAGTTATTCGGGTTTTAACCTGACCCAACACAACCCAGGGGTACTATGGTCACTTCATGTCATTATAATAGTTCTGGGGTCCCCAAGGGGCATGATGGTCATTTGGCATGGTCAAATATGGTTTAGAACCCAAAAAGGGTAAAACTATCATTATCTAGGGTCATTCAATGATTAAAGTGAAGTTTAGGGGTAAATATGTCATTGTACCAAAGTCTGGGGTCAAAGTGCAGTCCATTTATCCGATCAGATGGGGGCATATGATCAGATGGACATTCTAGTGAGGTTGCAAAGCTAAGTAACCATTTAACCGATCAGATGGAGGCATTTGACCGATCAGATGGCCTCATTTGATTGATCAGATGATAAACCCAGGAAAATCCACCTTTGTCAAGCCCATCTAACTGGTTGGGAGCATCTAACCGATCTGATCTAACTAGTTAGATGACCCCATCTAACCGATCAGATAGTGCCTAAATGTCATGTGATCAAATAGATCACTTCCTAGACCCGTCCAGTTTCATCCCAAAGTCAAACAACATGAAAATATAGATACACCAACATCATACTTTGAATAATTGATATGTACATCAATAAAATATGCTGTTTATGCATCATTTAAAGATTGAAAAACATACATGTCGATTATATACAATCCCAAAGAGTTTGATTACAAAAGGAGGCCGACTTGGCCATAAGTACAATGTCTCAAATACAAATAAAAAATCCTAACAACATTTAAGTCCGTGGATGCAAGCTTTTTACCATATCATCTCTAGTTTTATGAAAATGTTAAAGATAAGGGGTGAGCTTAACAACTCAGTAGAGAATGCCTAAAGCACTGGCTTTGGGCTCCCTTGAGTCGACAAGTAAAGAATGGGAAAAAGAGAAGTCGAGATCATACATGGAATGTCAAAAACCACAATCAATATAATTCGTTCGTAACACTTTCTTCACAAGACTAAACCTTGCGTATGAATGTAATGAACCGCTCTCATAGGAGACTGGCAACTGAATCCGGGCATACCTAATACCCCATCACACATAAGGAAGAAAACCAACCAAGATACCCATATGAAACTACGGACTCAAATCTAGGCGATCTCGCCACTAACCAACCATCTCGCATTATCAATGCCTATTGGAAGACACCTAGAAATCCCAATACTGAAACCTCACTTATACAATACCGCAATACCCATACAGACAAAACAAATCTGACACGCAACATCTACACGCCAAGTGCTAGAATACTATCCACAACGAGACTACCAAACATGAGCATCAATACTCATAACACTCAAACACTATGAATGATCACTGCCTTCCATACACCGCGTCCCGTTCTACTCAGAAACAATCTTCCTCAATTGGTAACTTCTATGCCATAAAATGACACCTCGACATCTAGTCCATCTCCACTATCCCAAGGGACACTGCCTCGAACACCGTACACATAAAACCTATGACATCGGTTAGAGCAACCTACCAACTCATCAGAAAAATAAAGTGCCTAAATGGCAACACCGCCCTTATTAACCCCAAGTGGGGTAAAACAATCTATACTAGCCTTGACAATTACATAATCCTATTACAGGCCAACTAGCAATCAATAAGCAGCCCATACATCCAGATCCCCGTTCGGACCACACCTTAAACTGTTTTATTCATTAGCACAAAATCAATCATGTCTTAACACCTTTATTACCATTTGATCGGTTGAGTCGATTACAATTATGAATCAACCTTCGCAATAGCACGAATCATTGTAAAATAGGGCTATTGGTCGGGTAAGTCGAACCACTGGGACTGCGCTAATCTATGGCAACCTAAGTGTCTAGAGTCTTTTTAGAATGATGGGGGTATTCATAGAGGATTTGTTGATTGTCACTTAAGCTATGAAATTAAGGTGCATAAATTAAAAGCTTGCAAGAATTTAAAGGAGATGAAATACAAGTAAAGAAGAATAGGGAAGTGAATCCGCCTCCATCCCTATACACATGCTAGATTAGAGCTAAATTGGGGGAAAAACAATATATATTATGGTCATGATACATAGCAACACTTGGTTGCTATAATATCCTCAAGAAGTTCATTAAATCTGAAGCAAGCATGATCCATCAAACGTTAACATGTTTAGACTACCTAACTAATGTGTAGCTTAACCACATTTACTTGAATGAAAGACTATCAAGCCCTAGATAAAATGATGAAGCACATGAAGGTAAGAAATAAGCATAAATCATCAAAGGTTTCACCTAAGCAATGATCTATCAAACTCCTTATCAACATGCCATTAAACCATTTCATAACCTTGTCTCCATTCTCACCATGAAAACTCAAGCAATATGATTAATATAAGACATCATCTAAAGCAAGATAATCAACTTACAGAAATCATCCATACATATATCAACATTCATTACAAGAAATGAAGTGCTCTTGGTTATGAAAAAACCATAGAATATACATTTTAATCCCCAAAATATAACCTAAATTAGAACATGCTTACAAGGGAGGGGCCTCATCACCTCCCTAGATGGAGGTTTAGTTACCCATGGGAGCTTTAGAAGAAGGAAGAAGCTTGGATGCAACCTCCATTTTTGAGCTCCTTTGTTGTAGCTTCAAGAACTCTCCCTTCTCCTCCTCTTTCTCTCTCCAAAAATCTTGCAAAATGAGATATGATCTTGTTATGTGTGGTCCTCCTCCTTTGTAGACATTCCTCTCTACCAAACAAGGCTCAAAAACCCCACCAAAAGACATCTCCAACCAACCCATAAAGATGGAAATCAGAAATGAGGGAAACAAGGTGCAAGTGGGCTGAAATGATGGTTCCTGGAGAGTAGTCTGCCCATAGTTTGAGCGCTTGAACTAAGCACTTCGAGCGCTCGAAGTTGGACCAGTATGCTCCTTCCTCTTGACCTGCTTTGCACTACTTTGGTAGAATAGCCATAACTTTCTGCTCTGAACTCCAAATGATGAACCGTTTGAAGATTTGGAAAGCTAATTCAAAGCTCTAAATATGTCATTTTTTAATGGAAGTCCAGTTCTCGAGTTTGATAGGTCAAAAATGGCAAGCAAAGTCAGATTCCACTGCTGCCAGAACTTTAGCCTTGAGCACATTGCTATTCAAAGATTGAATAAAACACCATTTTTGCTCCTTTTTGGCCAATGAACCTGGAAATATATAAAAACGTGCAAATGAAGATAATTTATAAAGAATAATCAAATAATGGATTTAACTAATGCAGCTAAAGGCGCTTGAATATGCAATATTCGGCGCTTATCACCATTCCTCTCGAATGACAACTCAAACCTTATCCCACCGGATCAATAAGCTACTACCAAGCGATCTCCCCTTAAACATCCATAGGATGCTAAAAACATAGTTCTAGGTATACCTCACTCTCGACATTCCTTACAACAACCACTAACTTGTCACGAGA